TCGCTAAATTAACTGCCTTCAACATGAGATATATGGAAACAAGACAACGAGCTAGACTTTGATGTGGTTGTGTCAATTCGTTTGCGTCTCATATCATCCGCGAAAACTAGCAAACACGTCTGGCACCGGCACCGACACGACACCAACAAAGCCAGCACATTGTTTGAGTAACTCATTTTTATTAGACCTTAACGCATACACACTTTATCATCATGCGAACTGAAAATGGTATGCAAATAGTTGTGGCTATAATTGAAATGCTCATTGCGACGGAATGGTATACGTTTTCATCCAGAAAGTGATGTAAAATCGGAACGATTCCAATTTGAAATGGCTGAAAGTGAAACAGAATGACATTTGATGCTCGCACGCTCATAAATTTCATGCGTTGAGATGTGATATTTCTTTTTTCATTGTTGTTGCTTTGAAAGTGCCATATGGAAATGTATATTTTGTTCAATTCCATGGGTAATAAACATTTTTTTTAAACTGTTATTTATTACATGGTTCAGTGCGTTCACACTACATTTTTCGCTATGCAATGCCATTTGACGCTATAGCTTCTGTCAGCGATACACTACATATATATTTTTGGTCGTCCAATTTTCCACTTAATCAATTTATTCGGGACGATAAAAGATTTCTTCTGTCTCCGTACAACAAGCGCTGTTAAAACAACAATAAGCGAGTGTACACTTTAAAATAAACGGCTTTCTTTGCGATCAAATAAACAAAAAAAAAGTAAAAGTTTATTGCTTGACGTTAAATTCCGCGCTGTGTGGCTCAAGGTCATAGCTAAGACAAAAGACACAATGACATTTCTCAGAATATTACACATATTCACAGAGACATTACTGTACACAAAGAAGACGTTCTAATAATTTGTCCAATTTGCGATGAAATTTAAAAGGAGGGAAAAAACTCGTTCACAATGACACATTCGTGCTGTATATCCGATTATTATTGTAATACGTGAATTGAGCGTCGAACGTTAACGCGCTTTTGATTTAAATGAAGAAAAAAAAACACTCCCAGAGTAATTTGTTATATGAAGAAACCGTTCTATAGTTTTAGAGCATTTCCTGTGCTGTGTGTGTGTGTGTGTGTATGTGATTGAAGAACAAAACGATAATTTGTGCAATCAAGAGAATACATTAGTCAGGCAGTCGAGCGAAACGTCGAAAGCAAACAAGTGAGAGCCTCAAACAATTGACTCATTCCAGGTGATGTGAATGAGGTGAAGAACATTGAGGCGAACTAATTATAGAATTCGCAAAAGCAAGTCACCTCGAACAAAAACGAATCACGTCGTCAACGTCAAGTGACGATCTCCATATAACATGAGATGGCAAATTATATAGGGACGTACCAAATCTATCTAAAAATTGTGCCTAGAAATCATTTAAATTCATCTCAATCCGAAAAATGCCATTCATTTCGTCTCACCTTAATACAATTACACAAAAATTATACATGTGTATTGTATGTATTGTTTTAAATTTGCAAAGGGTCTCAATTGTTTTGTATATTTTTCCAAATTGACGCTTTACCTACCTCGGTGCACGTTATTGCCTTTAGGATTCAGGTACGGTCTATTAGCACATTTCAAAAACAATCAACATTCTCTGTGTGCATGCGTTTATTTTTTTCCACGAACGTCCACTGTAAAGTTTCATAATCGAGCGAATCAATTTGTCGCTTGTGGCACTTGAATTGCTCATTTTTCCGTTAAATTGAGCGCATTATATAAAATGTTCCATTTTAAGTGGTCCATATCCGGAACCATATAATTTTTATAGTATTTTTGGGATAACTGCGGTCTCTTGAATAACGTGCAATTAGATACATTTTGCTGTACGCGCACACTGATAGCGTAATCATATCTAATGAGTGCCTAAACAAAAATGCAAATAAATGTCGTTGCGTTTGTTGGATGGAAAAAAGCCAACGAATAAAAGATACGCAGGAAAAAGAACAACATATATATGCCTTCACGAAAAGGTCATCGAACCATTTGACTGAAGTAACAGCACAAAAAATTTAAATATATGATAATTCGGTAGTTGCTGCAAAAAATGACGTTACACACAGCATCCCTTCTTGAAACGGCATTTCTCTTTCCGTTCATATAAATCTTTAAACATGAACGATTTCGAAATGAAATCCACTTTTGACCAAGGATAAATGGGATTTTTATTCCATACGACAAAGATTTAAATTTTGCATCCAAAAAAACGATGCTCAATAAAAACATATGTTCAACGGAAGAACGAATATCGAATCGAAATCGACAGGGATTTTATTTGAATGAAAATGCAAAGAGAAAGAGAAATGAAAGAGTGTGGGGGAGAGAGAATGAAATGCACAACCGTCATAAACATATTCGGAAGCAGAGATTGAATTCATGAATAAATAAGTCGCAATGGGAATACGAAAGCAGCGAATGTGAAGAAAATTATGAAAAGTACGGAACGTAATCGAAGTAGTAAATAATCTCTCTCTTCAGTGCGTCGCCCGACGACTTCAAGTGAATTGTTCTCAAGTTTTCTCATACGCTTTTGCATTGCTTATTTTTATTGGTCAATCAAAAACATGCGAACACAATCCTGTATTAGTGAGTTCTCGATGCTGGTTTTTATCTTCAAATGCGAGAGAAAATTATAGGATTTGAATGGTTCCAGACAAATCCTACTTTTTGACCATAAAACTCACAATCAAAAAATTAAAAACGATAAAAAAAATTCTATAGAAGTCGCAATTACACGTTTGAAACAAACTTTTGAGTTACTTGCAATTCATTGACGAGATAATGTAACGACTACCATATGCTTGTCTTTGACGCAAGAGCGAATGAAAATAATTCGAAAAGCTTTAAATTGCAGCATTTTAGGCGTTTCCAGCTTATGACTCGAAACTTTGTTTGCTTGGCAAATAATGGCGCGACTTTAAATGTTTCATTTGGAATGAGAATATAATTTGAATGTGTTTTCAATGAGTTAAGAGCTGTAAAAAAGCGATTCAACATCTTGTAATATAATGACACAGCCGAAAAATAACAATGACCAAAAATTCATCTTCTTAAGAATGAAGTTGAGAAGAGATTGCTAAATGGTCGCACGAATGGATTGCTAAATGGTTTTTCGGCGTATTTGTGAATGTCGGAAATTAATTGTCCGTTGCAAACAAAAAGCAAAGATTTGGCCATAATTTAAATGTATGAAAACAGATCGAGACAATTATCAATATTATTCGAACATTTATCAAACCGCCTCCGCCCGCTTTGAATCATTTTATTTTTCAGGTGGAATGAGAATTGTCATTTCACGGTGCGCATGAAATCCTTTATGCGAAAATTAAATGAGAAATGATTTATTTGCTTTAAAAAAGATTAAATCGCGTACGGAAATAATGTGTTTAAAACTTGGATGACACTTTCTTCACTCGACAATGGAATTCAACGATGATATACATAAAAGAAGCGGTTATTTCAATTATGAAATTGAAGCTATGCCCAAAATGTGTGCAACAAAAGCAAAAGACATATTGTGATGTTTTTGTATCTAAGGAGATTTTGTTCACCGTAAATGGCTTAATTCGGGATCTAAACAAAATGTTGTACGTGGGAAAGCGTCATCTTCAAGAAAGCATCCGACGAAAGATTCGACGCAAAACTTTACGGGATTGAATCACTTAAGTGAAACCATAAAATTTGTTTGATACATTCATAAACGTGTATCATCAGGTGCTTAGGCTCAAATTCGTGTCTAAATGAACGAACATTACTTTTATATGTTTAACAAGTTGTGTTGAGACACATTTATAAAATGGTACTTTACATCAAGCATGTCTCAACCAAAAACACGCATAAACACACAACACAAAACAATTTTATGTAGTAAGTTGTTCACATCGCTATTTTCGTGTATTGTCTTAGTTCATAAATTCATTTTTGTTGTGAATAAAGAATGTAAAAAAACCGCAACTCAAAATACATAAATTGCACACACAAAATAGATTCGTTGAACGATGTTTGTCATGGAAAATTCTTCCGCTTTCTTCCATATACAACATTGTGTTGTTGGTCATCATTACTTTTATAAAACGAACATTCTTCATTGGAAATGGAAGCAGAGAAAACTTTTCTACCGCATACGGGAAAACATGAGGATACACGCTCACATATCTGCTATTGTCATTTTATAAATTGTGCGAGCTTAAGCGTCATTTCAACACATCCACTCAATCCTATGCTCCAAAACAATTTCACTAAAATACATATAATGCATCCCCATCCTTGGCTGTTAACGCTCTCAACGACACGCACTATACCAAGCATACATATTCACATCTCAAAAATCATCACATTTATGGGATGCTCTGTTGAAAAGCACTCTTTTATATGCACAACTTCCTTCGTACATTAAAAATGTATTCAAGACAGGAAAAAGAAATGGCAGACACTCACCCAACGAAATGAATGGAACCAAAGTACCATGTTGGGTGGTTGGGTGTGCCATCCATTGCTGCATGATCGCAATTATTTATAGACAATTTTCACACTACTTAAAGCGCTTATAATACCGTTTCTACCCTTCGATTATTATTATGGTGTCGTCTTCTCTTTTTTGGTTATTTTACCGTTAAAAATAATGCGAAGCACAAAGTTTTCGATTGCAACATCGACCGTACGACACGTAAAAGTTTAATTGATTGTGAACGATTCTCATAAATAATAAAAGTTTATTCATCACACCACTCTGTTGGAAATTTCGGATGAACAAGAAATATCGCGTTTTCAATCGAAGAATATATATATATATATTTAAAATTGCTAATTTGTAGTAACTGTTTTCGATTCAATATTGATTCAATTCGACGCCTGAGTTTATGAAACTTTTGCAAAGAGTTCAAACCCGGTCATGTTCAAAAGAGTTTCCAACGCCCGTGTTTCGAGACTAGCTATTTTGGCACGATAATAGTAGCAAATGTTGTTTACTCACCGTCATATAAGCACTTTGAGCCCTCGGTTGATTGCTCGTTTTTGGCCTGTGAAAAGAAAATAATATGATTAAACATTTTTCGACGCTGGAGTTGACATAAATCAATTTCACTAAAAAAATCTACAATTATTTTCCTTTGAAGCTTAATTTCAGTTTCTATTAAGTTTGCATTGAATCATTTATGATTCAATTTTCACTTTTACCCCAATCGTTTGAAAGGACAACGAAAACAGAACTCGCGTAAAAGAAGTGTTCTTCTTTTAAAAAAAAGATTCATATTCAAACATAAAATGGCTTTATTTTGTGACAATTCGCTGAATTTATGATATTCTCAAGACTTTACCACCTAATCTACTGCCATAAATACTCAAAGATATTACCGAACAAACAACGAAAAACATGCGATTATTTTTAAGTCATGCAAATGATAAATGTATTCCCATTACGTGCAGATAAAAGTGCACTTATTATGTCTGATTCATGCAAAGAACATCGGAGAAGACACTTTCATTTTTCGAAAAAAAAAATTCTTATTTCTTCATACAAGAAGCTTGTTTTGTGTGTGAAAGGGACGAAAAACGTGAATTACGGTCGTCAAATGCACATTTGAAAAGTTTCCAGCCCAGGGTCACGATTCTAGACAGCGTTGCTTTTACTATCAGTTTATATGTAACCGGTCAAAAGTCACAACGTCGCATGAAACTATTGAAGTCGAATCAGAACTAATGTAATGATCATATACCCACTCACCATTTATGCGAACGAGGAAAAAATTAATGTCTTCCTGAAAAAAGATTATGAATGTGGTACGTCGTCTGCATTTTGGCTTGTGGTCGACTTTTTCTGATTATGTGTGATAAAGTGGTCGAAACATTTCAGCCAGACAGACAAAAGATTCTTTCAATAGAATTCAAGCCACCTAAACATTCAACACCGAATCGAAGCCGTCGCACAAAAAAATCAATTCCGTTTCGGAAATGAATGCATTTGTTCCATACCGATGATTTTCTTGTTATGGTGGTCCCCTTTTTGCAAATTTCAAGATGAGAGCTTTGTTAACAATTCAAAATAATTTACCAATTTTATTTACAGCATAACATTGGACTAGGATCAGATTTTTTCAATCTCTTAATCCCCTTTCACTATCTCATAATCTCGGTAAATTTGCTGAACCAGTGTGTCCATAACATATAGAAATAGCACTAAATAGTGTCGATATCTATACTATATTGGTCCACTATATATGTAAGATATTCCGCAAGACACCGTAGCTCACGATAGAAGTGAGTGCGGACGGCAAACATGTTGACGCATACACACAGTTCTTTCTACTGCCGCATGGCAATTTGTGATTTTTTCCGTCTACACTGGCTTCGATCGTGCGATACGGTGCCGTGCGGCAATATCTTTCATATATAGTGGACCGATATAGTATAGATATCGACACTATTTAGTGATATTTCTATATATTATGGACACACTGTGCTGAACAAACGTTAATTCCGTTGATAAATTCGGTTGATATAATTGTTTGTTAATATTTTTATTCGACTGTTTTGTAATGACTGAATCATATCTATTTCCTTGTTGCAGGATCATTTTCGTTTTTCTAACAGTTTTTCATATCCATTGCTACAATTACTGGTCAAATAAATGTAAACAAGCAAAACAAAAAAGAAAGTAAATGAAACATGTGCCATTGAAAGAAATGAGCAAATAATATAAAATAGAAGTATTCGCCCTCAAAATTATATGTTTCTAAAGAATTGGCATCGTAGCAAATTACTTCAAAACATAGCTCTTTTGTTACTTTGTCTGATGAATGCATCTTTTCCATGCGAATGATTTTCTATTCATTCCATTTTGAGCGTGTATTAAATAAATTGTCTCTTTGAGAATTTAAAAATTCATCTTCGCAATCAGTAAATGGCATTGTATTAATACCTTCACAAGTTCGGCATTCGAATCGGATTATATGACGTGATGAAATAAAAAAAGGACGTAAATGAATTGAAAGTGGAAAATGTGGAAGGCACGTGCCAAAACGTCTTCTTATTATTGATGCAATTTTTTCTAGGGTTATGACTTGATGGTCTTGACTTGTTTCGCGATTTGATGCCATAATACTGCTACTTGAACCAAACACACACTCACACGATTGTTACGATAATATTTTGAATTGATTACTGGAATTTGTTATTGTCAAGTCACGCCTTTGAATATGATTTTGTTGAATGAAAGACTCGTCGCAAGAATTTATATTGAAAAATTCTCATTTTGCAAGAAAAATAAAGAGTCTTTCGGAGATTACGTTGAATTTTGTTCAAACTTATAAATAGCTTGGAGAAAAATCAATTCACATTGACAAAATTCTTCCCCCTTTTCATTGAATTTATGTAGCAGCAACATCGATAAATATATTTAACAGCTAATTGTATGCATATAAAATTGACGATATTTTCAATAAACAGAATATTTTCGGCTCGAAAGCTGTTTAATACTATTTGATGTTAACAATATATTTCGAGACGATTAAAATATAATTATCTGTGAAAGCGGCAAAAAGTTTAGAAAACTCATCTCGAGGAGCTGTTGCTTAATAGATAAAATGTTCGTTCAGTAAGTGAGGGAGGCGAGAACTGCTGCACTTAAATTCATTGTATAAATGTGTGATTAATAAGAAAAGAGCCGGTCGTTTGTTTGTGTGTATATAGAACGTACTTAGTGCAAGTGACATTTTGAGATAAGCCCACAAATAACGGTCATAAATTTTATGAATCAACCACTTATGCGCGGCAATTCGGTTTGGTTGTGAAAGGACAAAGAGAAATGTTTGAAATCAGGTTCATTATCATTACAATATTTTCATAGCAAAATAAATGTGTCGTCAACGGCATCAAGAATTCTTGTTTTGCAAACAGATGAGTTCACATTATATCGGTTGATGTTTGTTCCAAACATTTTATTCCGAAATTGAAGCATCGCATCTTTGAAAAAAATCGAATGAATGAAAAAATAGTCATTTATACACAAAAATCATTAAGTTCAACACTCTCTCGACCGCATACTGAATGCATTACGGTATAAATATTTTTCCTGTAAATTCTTTAAAGCCACAGACGGGCACAGAGCCCTGAACGCAGGCTTTGTGAAATTATTCATGCTAAATGACTAAAGTGGTTATTATACTGTTTGAAAAGTAGGTACTTTTTGGGGGGAGTCCATTCCATGTTTTATGTGTGCACGGAAGAGGTTCAAGTGCTTCTTGTGGCTTTATTCCATCGGATGGAGCGCGAGAATGTGAGAGAAAGTGAGATTGAAACAAAAGGAACATCTAAGATGAATTCGGGATGAAAGAAGAAAAAGATGTAATGATTTTTCGTTAATTTATGTGGTTTCACTGGGAGAGAATATGGAATTTCTTTGAGCAGACACACCACAGGGGTATGGCATTTTAAAATTTTATGCATGCAATTTTCATAGTTTTACCACGCGCTGTCGACACATTTCTCAATGCCGTAAAAGTTTTTGACAGTAAAATACCGCACACATTCGATATGAATGCTTTGGGGTAGAGCGGTTGAGAAAGAGAGCGAACGAGAGAGTTTTGCTTGAAACTTATTTCGTTTTATGATAATTAGAACCATTTTACTTTGTGTGGATACATGTGCGCCCGTCCGTTGTACGGAACTCAAAACGGCACTTTCTTCACGGGAAGTAATATTAATAAGAGCAATAATTATTATGAAAAGAGAACATTTCTTATAGTAAAATGCGTTTCCATTAGCATAGTTCATTAAGTTTCGCCATATTCATTCTTTTTCTCGCAACAACACAATGAACGACAATTATCAAATATACAAAATTTCGAACATTCCGTCACTTTTAACGTCGAATAAACTTCAACAGTTTGCACATGAGCTCGAGGTCAACTAACTTATAGTCAATGAACTAAATATCCCACGCACACACACACATAATGCTTCCACAATATTTCGTTGGCTGGTGACTTATAAACATTTTCCAAGAAACCACTAAGACATTATGGTCCCCCATCTGAGACCCCATCGAATCGCACAGTTTCATCGCACAAATTATCACTTTAGCTTTTCATTTTATTTACGGACCATTTGCAAATAACAAATTTTATGTTTGGTTGTTATCTGTCATGTTCATATTTAAGTGAGCACATCCAAAGTCGCATTACATTTTGGTGACGTTGACAGTTTTCGATCCCAAACCATGTATGTACGTACGTTGTATATGCATCGTCCGTTACAAACATTTATTTTTTGGCATAATTATACATATATATGCAAAAACATATCGTTTTTAATCCCCATTCGAGTTATTCATCTCGGTTAAATGCGCCAACAACATTCTAATATTTCCGAATATTTGTCGGTTGGTTTTGAATATGATTCACAATGTTAATATTTGGTTTGTTTTTGTCATGTACCCCTCATCAACGTTTTTGGTATTAAAACTCAAAGGGATATGATTGTAAATATTTACATCTGCCAACATGGATATCGAAATGAACCCACACATCCCAGGATTTGTCAATATAAATGTTAAACAATATTGACTTTACGGTTGGCCAAGTGCAGATCAATTTTTTTCGAAGAACTTGTCGTCAGTGTGTGATCCAATTCACAAAACATTGTGATGCTTCGTTTACTTATGCTCAGTGATGTCACATGTCATCATTAAAATAAGAATTAAACACAAACTGTCATTAAAAATTGAAACATCTTTAAATTTTCGAAACATTTTCGATTGAGTGCCTGAAAACAATTCCGAATTGAAACACTGGCTCGAGAAAAAAAAATCTTGTTACCAAAAAATACACAATTCAAGGTTATTATGAAATACTAATTGGCATACGGTGTGACTACTCGTGACACGTCTTATGTAAGAACCATTTTGGTGTGTATCGTTAGGTCAATTTAACAAAATAAATGAAGAATTCTTCAACGGTGCAACCGTGCCAGTAACCATGTTGAGTTAACTAATCCAAACACAAAAGAAGTAAACCTGCTCTAAGCTATACGGAAGTTCATTCATAGCAACTACAAACCTAGACGAAAAAAAAACATTTTGCTCAAAATATTATGCAAAAGAGTATTACTTCCGCCAACATTGAATGTGACCAATTTTAACATAAACCATCAAATTGTAGAAAATTGTGCGCTCGTTGCACCAGAAGCCATCGAGCACAAACTGATAAAGTATAAAAATCTATTCCACGAACTCGAATGCACATCGCTGAATTTTTATTAAAATTTATAACTAGAATTCCATCAGTGAATGCAAAATAAATGTCATCTAACAAAGTGCAGTCAACGATAGATACGTCGTACTGCATGGTAAAACTTTGATTTCAGATTTAATTTTTCAAGGAAGCAGCATCATAGACGATATTGAAACCACGGAATAATCACTGAATTGTTCGCTTCGGTTGACGTTGATATGTTACATCTTGATAAAAGTGTGCGCATTGAGCTCAAAACAATAATCGACTGTGTTTGTCACAGCGACTGATTCAGAAGAATGGTTTATCGTACATATATGATGGAGTTTTCCTTTCCGCTGCCTCATACTCGCGATTCGTATAATGTATTTTATCTGAGTTTTTTATTCGTTCACTCAAATTTGTGTGTCATTTTAGTGAAAAGAAAGAACTTACAAGCCAGAAATGAAAACAAAATAATAATTTTGTTTGTGAAACGCACACAAGAAAGTGCGGTAAGAGATTGAGCTTTATAGCAATTTGTGTGTCATGTCATGTTTAGCAATTGTTGAGCCCCACGCACCCACACACACACACACACATACACTTTTCTATACAAAATTTTTGCGATTTACCTTAAATCATCGTTTACCAAAAGTCTAATTTGTCGCAATCGCATTACATTATGTTGACAGAGACAACAATGTAAATGTGTCCTTTTCCATTTTACGCACTCATGGATTCACCAATTGATTTTCATGACGAAACAAACATATACGATATACCAAATGGAAATTGTTATTTTGGAGGGAATTTTCGTCTGAATTATATGCGGTTTTGGAAAAGTTAATAAAAGGCAAGAGTTTTTGGCTGTTTTGTATTAAAGTTGACATAGCATTCAATGTATTCAATTCGATAAGCAAATTGTTTCTTTTTAAAGAAAATTTATCGAGTGCAAAATGTTAGTGCATTAATGCAAATAAATAATTGTTGTTTATAATTTTTGATTGTGCCGTGTAAAACATCACGATTAAAATGAAAAGAAGAAGTGACTTCATGATTTGTGGTGGAAAATGTGAATTGATTTTGGTGTTGTGCGTTTTCATTGCAACGGCAAATGCATTAGACACAAATATTGGAACCGTAGCACCGTTGACAGTGGATCAACCCGTTTCAAGTGAAAAACTTATTGACTCCAATAATATAAAGAAGCAGATCGAAACTCGACTCCACGATCCACAACCCGAATATTACAAGTAAATCAAATCAATTCAGCTTGTGATTCGTATCGAAATAAAGTTGTACTTAGTTTTGTTGAATTCGGTGTAATAAAACTTCCGTTTTAATTGAATTAGTTTTTCGTAGAAAGCGCAATTGCTTAGTCAGTAAACTTAAATGAGGCCAACAATTTTATGAATCAATGTTGTGCTGCATTAATGCCGTTGAGTCAGAAAGAATGAGTGCCATTAAGATTATTGTTGTGGTTGCGTTTAGTAAAACGCTTTCATTTCAAATGCGATGCATTTAGTCTATGAGAAATGCACGTTTTATTGTTTATTTTGAAATCAATTGTTATGGCAATTGTTTTTTTGAAATGTTGTGTATGTGATTACGTTTGAAATTGTGCAAATTTACAATGCCATTTTATCTTCATATATTCAATGCAATGGCTTACAAATTCAAACATTTTGAGTGATTCTTGAACAAAAACATCATTTAAAATTAACAAAGATCTGAATGTCTCCCAATTTCATGCATGCAGCTTACTGAAATGAATTTTATAAAAATACCATTAAATCCTCAATTCCATAGAAATTTAATTGATGTTTGGCTTGAATGATGCCATTCTCCGCATTAATTATATACCCATATGCATGTCTAATGGTTCGACTTCCAGTGAATCGTTGTGATTCATTTCAAGCGATCTAATTTGTAAGAAGAGTATTTCTCATTATGGTTAAATATTTTGTTTTGTTTTATTGAACCATCCACTTCAAACAGTTTGCTTGGCAATGTGAAGAGATCGCATGCATATTGGTACGGAAATAACAAAGACATATGTTGTGGTAAGCGTTTGGTATTCCGCAATATCCATTGTAAAAACATTTCGACAAATGAAATTCATAGATTGTCCGTTTCAGGTAAAATGTTGTGGTTTCCGATGAATAGCGCGCGCTCGTCAAAAAGGGAAACGTATAACCATTTTACCTTCGTAATATGCATGCATCCAAGTTCTGTGAAACTGTTGAATGGTGTGTCGAATTTATGAGCGTTCATTACCAGACAAAAATCTAATAGAAATTCCATTGCATTTCAAAAGACTATAAATTCAAATGGCGATATTGTTCAAAGCGCATGGAATGTGTAATAAACAAACAAAGGAAGGAATTTTTGCAAAAATTACCAAAATTGACGATGCTCTTGGTCACTTCTATCAAAAAATGCGTTCAGGATGTAGATATTAATTTTATTTATGTTTTTTTTTCTCGTTCGAACAAAACATCAACAATGTATTTAAAGTGTTCATTCATCGCTTTCATTTCGTGTGGCATCAATTTACGATCGAAAGTTATTTTCATCATTTATGGTACGCTACGTGCCCGAAGAGCGGAAAGCATACAAGCGAAAGTTATGAACAAAAAAGCAAACAATAACAATAAGTGACACCGAAAAAGTTAGCTAAGAATTTTTGTCGACGAATTTAATATTAATTTTATTGTGTGGCATACAATTTGGTAATTTCATAAGAGCGTTTCTACGGGGAGCAGGACAAAAGCGTTGATGGGCACAAGAATGCATTCATAAATTGTTTTGTACATATTATCCATGTTTTGTTTTTATTTTATTTTTTGTTCTGGGTACACAGAGGACCGTCAACAAATAACTATGATTCATATGACTTGAATACATTGAAGTACAACGGACAAAGTCAGCGTCCGACAAATTTAGTTGGCAGCGGCTATTACAATCCATATTTAAGCAAACATGGCTTTTATGGAGCGATAAACCAAAAAGATCGGATTAGCCTGGGTGGTGGTAAGTTATTTTTCGCTTGTCGTGCAATTTTTTTCTTCTTTTGTTTCTACGGGTGGCCAACAGTTGAATTTGAAGCACTTTTTTTTTGTCGTTTGAATTTATTGCACGGAAAAACTTGCTTCAAATTAATTGTTTGTCAGAGAGTTGAGAGCGCATTTCTTTTTGTGTGAAAAGAGAAATGTTTTAAAATGGGTTGCATACATTTAGGCTATTACAATGGCAATGAATTCAACGGGAATGGCTATACCGGATCAGATCGTGGTGTTCGACCTTATGGTTCACCTCAGCCCGTAGACATTCCATCGAGTCACGGGAATGGTTGGTACGGCGGCGGCGGCGGCGGAGGAGGAGGAGGTGGAGGAGGTGGAGGTGGAGGTGGACCCACTGCATATGGCGGATATGATGGAGCATACGATCAAGGCTTCGACGGTAACATCTGGCCCGAGAAAATGCATGTAAATTATTATTTTTTTCTTTCTGGCACTCTTGTTGCTCTTTTGCCTCACTCGGTTCACGTTTTAATTTTGTCACTGAATTGAAATGCATGTTTGTTTAAATTTGTGTCTCTTTGTTTTAGCATTTATCGAAATCGCATTTGTTGCCGTTGGCTGGAGCAGCGTTAATAGGAATCGCAGCTGCACTACTCGTAAATCCTGTTTTATTGCAATTGGGAACCGTTACTGGAAAACGTCGACGTCGACGCGATACAATGCGACAATCATTACCTCCATCCAAAGCGATAGCACATAATCTAGCATACAGAGGCCACATTCAACAGTAAACACACATTCAAATAATGACCTTAGACGAAAACGATCCCGCATTCATTTTTTGATTGCACCAGCAACCATTATTACAAACTAATAAATATTTCAAAATTAATTTTTTATTCTGATACAATTTGTATAGAGCATAGTAAATTATCTCAAGATAGAATCGGCATTTGTGCGAGTGTGACAGAGAGAGAATGGGAAAAACCGTTGTGATAACAATTAAATAAATAAACAAGAGCGGCTCCTTTTTTATCATGTACATTTCCATGTTGGATTCATTTACAATAGATTTTATTCGTGAAATTTAAATTGAGAATTTTCAAATCTCTTTGAATATCTGATTTTATTGTTTTTCAATACTTTTGGACTGATTTTTTATGATAAAAGCTATCGAACAATAAATATTTACCTGATAACAACTTCGTCGTCGTTTGTTGTTGTTGTTGTCATGATGATGGTCTGCAGTCACGAAATTATTACTTTGTACGTGTATAGTGTATACTCTTTTTTATTGATTATTTCATATCATACATCGATAATGACTTTCTTGGCATTTTTATTTTACAGTTTTGATTGTGGTTTGTTTCACATTCACAGTGTCTATTGGTTCGGTTCAATCTGAAAGAAAAAAATGAAAAAAAAACATTAGTTTCAACTTTCCGACATAATTTCAACATGAACCTGATATATGATGATACGTAGACATTTGACAAATATTTACAGATACACTTTGAATCTAACCTCGATAAAAGATGTAAATAAATCATAATATCGACCATTTCCAATGATTAAGTTGTTGATTTTTTTATTTTTATGACCTTTCAATTTTGATGTGTAAACGGAAATTATCAAGCCTCATTATTTTCCTAAGTTGAAAGAACGGCAATTTTATTGAATAAGACTAATTAAAATTGCTACTGAATTCAATTCACGCGACCAAACATAAAGTTTTAACGAAACATATTTTTCAATCTTTGGATGATTTTTCAACTTTGATTCAATCAATCGATGCGAATACTATCGGTCAAAAACAAAAAATTCTCAATCATTTCCATTATAAATTCCATTAAAAAAATCTTGAAATACTGGTTGTGTGTTTCAAAAACGATATTAAATGTCCACATTTACATTTGTCCGAGCTGATTTAACCTTTAGTGGTTGTTGACTTTTTGGCCAATAGTTCAACTACAACAAACGAATAGTTCTTGACTTTTTGTAAATTGACGGTATATGATTTATGTTTTTTTCTTCCATATTTTCCATTTTTTTAATAATTTCGCGATCATCCAGTTTAATAATAAGAAAAGACTTGTGAGCGTGTGTATGTATTTTTTAAAGGCATGATTTACAATGATTAAAAATGCGTAATATTTCAAGTATTTTCACACGTTTTAAAGGTCACATAAATTCTCCAAATCAAAGTAAGTGTGGCACCAAAAGAGCATTAATATGATTGGATTAAAATCGTTCAAATCATTCATTCCAATTGAAGAAGAAAAAAAACCAAATGACTCATGTATCTCTGGAAATGTATGTTACATCACGCACACCGTATTTTTGTTGAGAATGAAACCATTTTCGTCTCTTTAAATGGTAGAAAACCGGCATACGACTGGGATCGCTGTATAAACATAAATATCAAAGTCATTCTAAATATTAACATACACGTATCGCTTGTATATTGTGGCGATTGTGTGAGTTATTACATTGATTAAGATCCATGTGTTTTATTTCTCCGATCGTTCGTTTTGGTGCCATATTTCCAGTGAACTATTGTGATTCATTAGTATAAAGATCAAGATATTGAGCAAGATCATTGTTTACATACACAAACACTGTCAAACAGAGCAGAGCTGAGCAGAGCAGAGCAATGGCTGTGTGCAAACCACATGAGTATTGGTATCGCTGTGTGTTCGGTATGTTTGAGTATCTATTTTGGTGCGATTGGTTTGTTTCAAGTGAAAGTTGCTGGCTGCAGAGAGGTAGTAGCTCAATGCTATGAAAACCATACAATCGGACCGAAGAAAAAAGTAACAGCAAAATGTGGCAAACAATAAAAGATATGGTTTGTGTTGTTATTTAAATCGATTTTAAAATGTATTTTGCACCCATGCCAAACTTCAGTTTTCTTTGTTCAATGGCTTTCGAAACGAGTCATGTGAGAATTTTCTCCAGTAATTTCTATGCTTTCATTACGATTCTTTTCGAAATTTTTTCGAAAATGAAACGAAATTTCATTCAACGGAATCAAATTAGTTTCACAGTTGGTGCTAATGTCATTTGATTTATAGCATTGTGTTGGATGAAAAGACTCAATTGTTCCTTTCAATGAAAGCATTGAATCTCAGATGTTTTTTTTTGTAATCATTAATTGAATGGCACTTGAATCGTTGGCAACGGTTTCGCTTTCGATCAATCATTCATTCAATAAATTTATTGTCTTTATCATTGCATGATTAAGCCACTTGCATTTAATTAAGATGCTTTGAAAAAAGAATCGAATTTAATTTCCCTTCAAGTCAAATGATAAAGCGCGGTTCAATGCAATTCAATTTCTTGCACAAAATGTAATTGAAAACGGAAAATGTTTATTGCAAAGAACGTCAATGCTAAATGATACTTAATTGCAGTAAATGACAAAATGCATTCGAAAGACTTTGCTGTAGAAGAAGAAACGGTTATCACAAAAGATAACGTTCTTCGGAAATGGCGAATTTGCTGTAAATTGACAAGAGCGAAAAAAAACAGTTGTGCAAATTACATGATCCATTGATAATAAATGTTTATGTTTATGTTGATGAATTTTATTTTCTCACAATGCTCGGCTCCTATATATACACATAAATCAAAATTTACTCGTTCACACACACACACATGCACAACATTCGACACAAATTTCAAACAAAATGACGAAATAATAAAATGAAAAAACGCATAAAGTATGTATGTTTTGGTGCCCGTGTATAAATACGCGAGGAGTTCTAGTAGCACTGATGAATACGGCTGACATGAGAAAAAAGTGCATTACACATTCGTTCAAATTCGAAAACAAGCCACCACACCGCACGTCTTACTATATTTATCGTCATCAATTGTGTTGCTTCTATTTTTGAATGCAATCGGAGTGAGAAACGAGCGCGCGAGCTCGAGCGTATGCGCGAATGGGAAATGGTACAGGCATTTTGATTATATTTCAAATGTTGCATGTTTTTACAGTCGATCCGTTTCGTGCGTGTATGCGTATGTCATGCATTCAGTGTGGGTAATTAAGTCAAAAGAATGTATGTATAATAAGGGACCGATTTTCGGTGCATAAAATTCTTCACTTAAAATCCAAATGCAACCGTGAGTATTAACTTTTTTTTCTGTATTCTCAACACAGCGCGATATAAAGAGAAACATCCATTCGAGCATTAACGATTTATGTGCATCTTATTTTCACTCATTTCAATAGGTAAGTAATTTTCTGTCTTACTCGCTGCCATTTGATTCATTGCATTCATGAATTGTCAACATGAAAGTCGGTTCATTTATCTTTCACAACTATTTCAGGGAAGTGCATTTTATTTACACGCCATGCCTAGTTGTCGTGGGGAGCACACAATTATTTCCTCATTATTATTGAAAAAGAATTCATTAGTTCATCCATTAAGAACTGCGCTCACAAATTCAACTCTCATTCGAATATTGATGATAGAAAATACGTGTTAATTAACACACGATCCTATGACAAAAAAAAAACAGTAATTTTGTTTACATTTTACTGTTGTTGAGGGGCTGTCACTGACCTATGTTCATTAGTCATCGAAATCTTATCACATCTTACGGTTGAAAAATCACAACAGCGGCGATTCTTTTTCGCAAACCCAATTTGAGCAACGATACAAATGATTTGTTCTAAAAACCGCTAACAAAACACATGATTATAACTTCCACATTTGGAAATGCCCACGCCATTTGAATAACGATATGATTTTTGTGTTTACAACGGTCTATTATAATTTTTCGCAACAAAGGACCGGCTAAACAAAGGCCATTTAGTTCTAAACGATATGCATGACCGTCAGTTCATCAAAACAAAAGCACAAAACAAAATCAAATGAATGGACTTTCTTCAGCATGAAAGCAACAACAATTGCGAGACAAATGAACGAAAAAAAGCATTGCTGAAATGAATGTCATTTGTTGTCGTTTATTTTCGCGTTGAATTATGCAGATTATTCAGCGGAACATGCGAATCGAAACGACAATGTGAAGTGGGCTGGGATGTATATATTTTATCGGTTAATTTGCATGCGAACATTTTGTCTTTTTTCAGTTCGTTTGTTATTCAACTTCTACTTTTGTTCGCGCATTATCGGTCGAAATTCCAGCACTCACCAAGTAGTTGTGGTTTTGTCCGTTAGTTTTTTTTGTATAATGTTTGTGTCTTTATTTTATCATATACATCCAAGTGTTTTTGTGATTAATGTTCAGCTAAGCGATGCATTCGCGGAAATACATTTGTTTTATCGCCATCACTATTTTCGAGTACACAAGATGTTTTCATCTAGGTTTTCGTCACTAGAGATTAGAATGCCAGCTTTGAATAGTTTTTTTTAAAAATGTTATACTACAAATATGGTTGGTGCTCGAACCATTGAATTGACCATATAAAGTCATTTCGACGCAATTGTCGTGAGCCACCGTATGCCGTGTATCTCCGAAACCAAGTAGTTTGTTCCCTTTTCGCAAGCAGATGTCGCATTCCTTTAAGCCCAAACCATGGCAATCATTTCATCGCCATCGACCAAGCTATAAAAATCATAATTGCTCAGATTAATGGAAACATCTCAAATTTCTCATTTTCTCAAGTTCCACTTGCGTTTTCGACACGCTCTAAGTTCATTTATAGCAGGCAATTTTCTACACTTTTTGGACGCTATAATCGTTACCAAAGTATGCGGTCATAACAAAATCATACAATAAACTGCATGCATTTTATGTTTAAATAAACAACAATTTACAAAAAAATATATTTTTTTTTCTTCAATTTTTCAGCAGTTTCTTGAACTATTCGATTATTCAACTCTGAGCCAATTTGTTTGGAGCCAAATCAGCAATTTTACTCGTGAGCGGTTCTCTTTCTTGCGAATCACGTAATGAATATCAAAATGAAACAAGAAGAAGCACACATCGAAAAACAAACTCGAGGGCAAATAAACATACAAAAATTTGGCGAATACCAAACAGCAGCAAGACCGGATAACAACATTGCGAATCACATTAACAGAAAAAAAGAGAGAGGATTAAAGCGGCCGAAAACTATAATGAATTCGTTGGTAAATTTACCTGTATTTCGCAGCCGGCGAACGTTAAACAATGTTAACAATCCACACCTGGCTTGGGCATATGCCCGAAATGATGCGCAATTCAAAAAATCTAATGCTTTTTTAACCACACGATGTTTTTAACCACCACGATGTACAACTGTCAATTACGCCGAAAATTATTTGCTGTAAAATAAATGACACTTTCAATGGTCTGGGCGAAACTTCGGATCGTTTTTTTATATATTTGATGAGATAAAATTCGTTACACACTTTTCGTTGTAATTTACGCAATTATTACACTTTCATTTGTACGCCGAAAATTTCACTCGAAGGTGAAATGATGCACGGTATTGTTTTTAACAATCACTTTTTGTTTGGCTTTGAATTCGTTCATTAATTTGGGCACGAATCTCAACACATTATGCACTTCACTGAATCACTTCGCAGAAATCACTGAGTTGATCTCATTTCGGGATCGTTCATTTTCTGTAATCATTTAACTTGCTCATAAATGTCTCGATGGTAAATCGCCTTCTCACAAAAGAATCTCACTTATGTGTACACTGCACACGTTCACTGAATCATCTGCATTGGCATTGACTTAAAAGAAAATACGTTTGATGCATTCTTGATTCGTGTTATGTTGCCATATGTATTTCGAATGTGATTTCTTTCGAGCATGTTTGCACATCGGTGCAATGATTTTGTGCACACAAGTGTATAATATGAAAATGCGAAATAATCACGTATTTACTTCCTCGCCGAATGAACACACACTCTAAATTCGATAAATCATTACTGCTTTTTTTTCACACGTTCACTTAAAAATTCACTTTTTGCATCAATACACCAACAATAACAACAATACAAGCCGCTCCGTTCCAAAATGTCAGACCGAAAGAGAGATTTTTTGTTGTTTGTTAGCTTGACGTGATTCTGATGAATATAAAGTGAAATCGTTTTCGTCTTATTATTCGGGCTGATCACACAAAACTGACACTATTTTAGATGAGAACTCATATTAACTCGCCGCAAGTCATTCAATTACATTAAATAACTAATTGATTTTAAATTGAACACAATTTTCTGTTTGATGAAACACACCGCAATCGTAAATATTTGTAATATCGATTTTATGTAGTTTATTTTGCTCTCGAAAAATGCAATGAATGTTTATTTTCTTGTCTTTTATTTTGGTAGCAAGCGAGTCTCTGTCTCAGGCAGAGACACCGCGACAAACGCACTATGGTTTATTTAATTGAACGACTAAGACTGAAACCGAATCAACCAAACACACCAAGAATATCGTATGTACACACATATCGAACACAATATGAACTAACAACAAAACGCTCAATCTGTTCTCTCTCTCTTTCTCTCACTCATTCACTGGAATTGCTCTCGTTGTATATGTACACGGATCTCTTTTTTTCTTCTCACATATACACGCATGAACATCACAGTCACCGTTGAAAACTTGAAATTTACATTTGAACAGAAGCAAGAGAAAACAGAAGAAAAAAAACGACGACAACGATGTGATTGCTGCACCCATACAAACTTACGGCCAAAATGCAACTATTTTCACATGTGTGTTACCGCATGAATAATGCATTCAATGGTGTGTATTTTGTTTACGCGATTCAATAACAACAAACATGTGTGTGAGTGTGTTTGGTAAATGCAAAACGTGCTACATCGTTGGAGGTTCATTCATGTATGAGTAACCGATCGCAAAGCACTCATCTCTAATCTAACAACAGAAAAAAGTCAATAAAAGAACCGAAAATTCCGTTGAAACGTAGAATACGACCAAAAAAACAACACCAATCTGTCTGCGTGTTTGTAACGTAAGACTCTGTATTGCGTTGCATGTATGCGCGTGTGAATGAAGCACAAGAATCTTATTCGAAATGTATACAAACACGATCACGGGAGACACTCAATCGAAATAAATGTCATTCTATCCAGCAAAGGTGGTTTGCCTAATTTCAGGCAATAAAAGTGTTCGAGCAGAAAAATATGTATTTTAAGCACACAAATGAACCGAATTGAGTACTTAGCGGTGATAACAATGTGTTTATCGATCGTTCATATATGAAAACATGATCTTGTGAGACTCAATATAAATTACAGTTTTTGATTAAAATGTTGCATTTCCTTATGGAACTGATCTGCGCAGTTTAGTAATAACATTTTATTAATTCAACTATCGGTTATTATTTGGGCGGAAAATTGTACAATGTTCAAGCGCATCCAGTTATCTTTTACATTTTGTTACCTTCTAAATAGAATAGATTGTAAGACATGTTGTATATGCACAATTAGCCGTAATGGGTCGGCAAAAATGTCGATGTGAAATGTATTTAAACAAATTCGAAAAGTATTGCCTAAAGTCATTTTGAGCAATTTATTGGAAGAAATCCAATCATAATGAAGATATTTTTTTATTTTCTTATTTTTCTAAGTTTGTTCTACGCAACATCAGCGGCTGTACGTATTCAATTTTAATTATTCGTTTTCGTTCGTTTGTATTGTTTTACCGAATTTCGATTCCATATTTTTTAATTCTGTTTGTTTTTTGTGCATTAAAAACAGGTGACTGAAGCACAAATGGCCGAGACTAGAACTATGCTTCGGAATGTGTGCAAGCCCAAATCAAAACTTGCTGATGGTAAGGATAACTGAAGTGATAAATTCTTTGAACGTTTGCCAATTTAAATCATTCACTCTTCAAATTCAAGATGTTATTGACAAAATGAGTGACAAAGTTTTTCCAACCGATAAAGCATCTAAAGTAAGTGAACTTCTAGCGATTTTCTTGCCGAATTTTCTGCATACGTCTTTTTTCGTTTCATGTAACTTTTCCAATGAATGGATAACAGTGTTTTATTCAATGCATTCTTGAGAATATGGGTATGATGCGGAAAAGTAAAATCCAGGTATGTGGTGCTTCAGCCGTATTACATCTAATAAATGAGATATTTAATGGTTTAAAAAAAAATTAAACTACAGTACGAAGCCGCAATGAAGCAATTCGATTTACTATTGCCAGATAGTATGAAGGAAGGCTGGAAAGGTGCTTTGACCGCATGTAAAGACTCATCACAAGGTGAAAAGAACCCCTGCGAAGCCGCTTACAAATTAGGTAATTCGAATATTCAGCATTTAAATTCAATAACATTTGATAAAATGCGAACAATTTTATTTTATTTTTAAATTCAGTTCTCTGTTTTTCGGACAAAAATGACAGCTTTACTTTCGTTTAGTAACAATAGCTTAAGATGCTGACATTCTTACTAATCAATGAAGGAATATCTTCTTTATTTCAATTGAAAATATCTAAATAAATGAAACAAATGCTTCTGTTGATTCTTAACTAATAATACCTTTGTTTTAATGAAATTTTTGTCTGTTTCCAAGTATGTCTTCAACACAAGAGGAATTATCATTTTCATAGTACTTTTTCAATACTGTTTGGAAGAGTATTTATAAAATAGAAATATATTTCGAAACATTTTCAAATAGTTCAGCAAACAATAATCCACGATAAAAAATGAAACCTATAAATTTTGAAACCAAACAAATTATTGCAAAAAATGCGAAATCAACCTACAAGGACAAATGAAAAGAAAAACACTTAGGAAATTACTTCCATTTGACACTTAAATTTTAAATATATCAAAACTAGGTACCGGTTATTTCAGAAAAAGAATATCTATGTCGTTTATCAACATAGCGTGTTGAATGTTGATGGCTGAAATGTCTATGTATGGCGCCTAATTACGGGAACAAAAGAATAAGATATTGGATTTTTCTATTGAACCATGTAAAATCCAGCTCAATTCGAAAATAAGAAATAGCTTTAGAATAAGATCATTATCATTATCGATATAACGCAGTACAAAAAACAACGTAAAGTTCAGTCGGTGAATTACTTGTTTTTTTTTTAAATTATATTATTCAGCATATAATTCTTCTTCCTAGTATTCGCCAAGTTAGCGGTTTGAAGTACATTTAAATTCCATTTCCAGAGTTTTTCAAATACATTAAACTGCTAATAGCAATAATTATTATTTAAAATTCCATTCATATACAAACAGAATATTTCGATTGATCATATCATTTATACTTGCATTTCAAATGTGCTTCCTGAAGAAATCATACAAAATTATTATTATTAGGAAATACATTTGGTGCATTTCTCTGTAGTAAAGGCAACAGCAATAGTTTGAAGAGTATTTAAGCAGAGAATGAACTCATTTCAATTCAATTTCAAGTAGTTTAAAGCAATCAGTGGTAAAAAAATGAGAGTTATCTTCAATTATCTTGTTTTTGTTAGCTTTTTCTACGTCTCTTTGGGCGCTGTATGTGTGAACATTTTCAATTTGGTTAAATAATTATAATCACAGACACCGTTTTTTTTCTGATTTGATTTAAAATAGATGACTCAGGAACAAATGGATAGCTCCGCAGCAATGATACGGAAAACGTGCCAGCCAAAGTCGAAACTTAGTGATGGTTAATGTGTTTTCTTTTATTTATTTTATCAGAAAGATAATTTTTAACATTTTAATTTTAATAATACTTTTTTACCGTCCAAAATATAAGATATCATCAATAAAATGAGCGAAAAAGTTTTTCCCGATACCAAAGAATCAAAGGTGAAAGAAATTTGTTAAAAAAAACCGTCATTAAATTATTAATTTTCAATTGATTCATTTTCATTTGTAAACTTAGTGTTTTATGCATTGCGTCGCGGAAAACATGCAACTGATGAGAAAAGCGAAGCTAAATTATGATTCGGCTTTAAAATCATTTGACACAATGTTGCCTGACCCGTAAGTTGTAACCAAATTTTTTCGTGAAAACAAAATTGAGGAAAACAAATACTCAAACTCAAAATTATTTGAAATTTTTTGGCAACTTCGTTGGAATATCATCCAAAAATTCCGCTAAACTATATAGTCAATCAGTCATTTTACTTTCACTTGAGTAAAGTACTTTTATGTTTATACCCCGACAGTATTAAAGATGATTACAAAAATGCACTTTCAGCCTGTAAGGATGCGGCGAATGGCGAGAAAAATTCATGTAAGTGATTGATGAAGATGGGCTGACGACATTGATGCCGGTGCCTTTTAAATTGTCGTGCATATTTTTGTTTATTTTTTTCTGATATACAATTATGTTCAACAGGTGAAGCTGCCTACAAAATATGTAATTCAACTACTTTGAAGTTGAACAAAAAATATAAATTTGACAGATATATTTAATGTTTTTTCCTTCTTTTTTTGCTTTAGTAACTTGTTTTGCCAATAAAAATCCCAGCTTCAGATTCGTTTAGAATTCAAAACTAGTTATGGGTGGATTCAGCACCTTTGTTTTGAACTTGTGAAGGGTATGCGGTACTTCAGCAGTATTAATTACTTGTAATAAATGAGATGTTCAATGGTTTTAAACATTGTGTTTTTTGTTTGTTTTTTTAAATATTGAAATTTTATCAGTTTTTTACTTTCAACATACAGTACAATTATTGGACACATTTTAAAGTTTGCTTTAGAATAGTATTTAATACGGGTGTACGATTCGTATTTTTTAAATCGATATTTTTCGTATATCGCTTCGGCAATTCATCTGATTGAATATATTATGATAAATGACGCACTTTATTCATAAAATATGGATGGACCTAATTTCGTCATAAAATTTCAGAAAAACGTCATAAATTCATCATCATTTTCCGAAATTCGTCATAAAAATTACTAAAATCGTCATAAAATTAGATGAAAATCGTAATAAAATTAGATGAAAATCGTCATAAATTTTCAGAAAATCGTCATAAAATTTCAGAAAATCCGAATAAAAATTAATTGAAAATCGGAATAAAATTTCCTAAAATCGGAATAAAATTTCAGGAAAACGTCATAAAATTTGCGAAAATCAGTATAAAAAATATCCTGCCTGTAATTAATTGCATGTAACGCTTGATCGCCATCCAAGAGACTCTCATGTATAGACACACGCCACCTGCATATTTTTGTTTTCGTTTGTCGAACAGTTACACCGTACGACAAAAAAAAATGATCTTCTGTGACATGAACTTCGTGAATAGGGCGTTGTAGTAGATGGAAAAACCAGCAAAATTGCATCTTTGGTTTGTTCCATATACGTCTCATTTTTTAAAGGTTTTTTGGCATGCTGAAGCCGAATCTTTTGGTTTCAGGTAAAAAAAATCAGGGGTTAAGGGGTTATGACCCCTGACCTCCCTAGGAAGAGTTGGAGGGCAGCTGACCCAAAAAATTTCTCACATCATTCTGAACAACTTTGTAGAACATAATTTTTTGATCCGATGATAAAATCGACATCAACAAAAAAAAATTGGAAAAAAATGAAGTAAACGATCATTTTTGCCCGTTTTTGTATGAAAATCGTATCAAAACGTTATTATATCGCAAAATAAATGTCAAAAATGGATTGCTCGTACCAAAAAACCTCCAAATACACATGTTCACCAATTAAGAATGAAAGAAGTATACAGTTTAAAAGTCGCCCTTTTCATATTTGTACTGAAGATTTACCAAATTGAATAACTTTTTTAAACAGACGTATATGGAACAAACCAAAGATGCAATTTTGCTAGTTTTTCCATCTACTACAACGCCCTATTCACGAAGTTCATGTCACAGAAGATCATTTTTTTTGTCGTACGGTGTTATCAACCTCTTTATAGATTGTATCGCTATATTGGTCACCACTTGGCTTCAATACACCCAAAAATAGTCCCATTGGAATGGAAAAATTGTTCGTTGATTTGTCGAAATGAATTTTGTATTCACGCGTTGGCTTGTTGAGTGGAAAAACATTGATTGATAAGCATGGGTTATCATCTGCCGATACGCACAATACCAGTGTTGTAGTTTTTTCATACGCTGCTTTTGAATCATTTTGAGAGACCAAATTACCCCGCTACATTTTTTGGAAAATTTTGGGAACACTCTCTTGGATGACGATCGGAAATATGACATGAACAACAAAGACATCTCAACCGTTTCAAAACAAAACAATGGCATTGGATACAATTTATTAACAAAAAATTATATAGGTACGCAAAAATGTAACTGAGAACCCTCCAATTATAAACTGTACAATAGCGAAATGTCGTAAGTACCAATCTTTTACGCATTATAGATTAATTGTTACATGACTTGGCTAATATTCGACCGTATTCGACATTCATGCGTAGATTTTGGTGAGTATAAAATTGAAAACTCCATCGTCAAAATGTTTAATACTCACATTTGGTTTGTTGAATACGTGAAAAATTTGCATTTAAAACGTGAAATATCAATAAAACTAAAATATTCAAAATGATAAGAGTACTACTTGCAGTGACTGTATTATCATTCTTATTTATTTCGGTCCATTGTGTAAGTGCAGTACAATTTATGTTTCTCTGTCAATTTTTTCTATTTTAAAAAATTGCATTCATGTAAATTCAATCAATACATTCCCAAAAGAATGGCGATGAACAAATGAGACAGACCTTGGATGTGGTGCGTGCGGTTTGCCAACCAAAACACAAAATAAGCGATGGTAAATAAAAATCGATGGTTCTTTGAAAGTGATGAACATTTTATATTGAATTTTTCGATTTTCTTCATTTTGAGTAGACGTTGTTTTGGCCGCGCGTGAAGGTAAATTTCCAGAAGACAAAAATTTCAAGGTAAATGATACACGATCATACATTTGAATCGTTGCGGCGAAACAGTAGCTCTTATTTTTCTCCAAATAATACTGCAGAGAGCTAACCTTTCGCCGCAACGATTCATTTGGTGGTGACTTGTTCAATTTAATTAAAAAATGTTTCATTCTCCATGAATTTATATCGTGCAGTGCTATGCTCAGGTAAATGCGATAAAAATCTATATCCTTTGAAACAAATGATGTTTTACGTTTAAAATGTTTATTTTCAGTGTGTAATGGAATTTTTGGGTACGATGAAAAAAGCCAAAGTTCTTTATGAGTCTGCAATACGTCAATTTGGTAAATTAAGATAAATTTGGAATTTGAGCACTTTTAGTTTGACCGACTGATTCTTTCCGGTCGCGTAGACTTTTTATGTTTTTCAAAAAGAATCATACACGAAAACATAAAAATTACAATTGAAGCCGGCTGGAAAGTATAAGCACAACTCAAAATAAAAATATCTTATTCTACCTAGATGTCCTCCTGCCAGACGACTACAAGGAACCCTATAAGTATGCATTGGAAAAGTGTAAAACTTCGACTGGTGGTACGAAGAATCCGTGTGATGCTGCATATAATGTACTTGTTTGCTTCCATGCTCATAATTCCAAGTTTACATTCGCTTAATCATTGTTGTTATATGATAACAATTGCACAATAAATATACTCTGCTTTAAATATAAGAGTAACATTGTTGTCAAATTGAATGTTTTTCTTAATTATTATTTATATAGCCAAAATTCAAATCAATTTCTTGTGTTACAAGTACAAGCGCTTCGAAAGATAACCAAAATCAGCATTTAAATTTAGTTCAGGTCATTGATTACGGGACATTACGACTGGTTAAATTCAAGAGGAAAATCAATTAAAAATGTACTGCCAAATTTGGAAATAGTTTCAAGCCATTTCAAAACGATTTTGGATAATTCTTGAGAAAATCACATAACTGTTTGCATTTTTCAGAGACATTTCTTACTTCAATCGCATTTGTGTGTGAAAGACTTTTTTATTGAGTTGGGGACAATATAATCAAATTAACGCGATTTTAAAAGTAACCGAAACAAATAAATAACGCAAGATCGAATATAGATTTCATGCCACAATGAAGTTAGTAGTGTGCTTGGTTGCAATCGGTTTCTTCATTAGTTTTCGTTTACTTTACTTGTACTACTATGTGAGCACTACTGGTCCATTACAAGCCGGAGAAGAAAAAAACAGTTGGATACATCCTAAGACAAAGGTCAGAAAAAAGTTCAATGTTTTGTTCAAATTTCTACTAACAACTTTGAACTGGTTTTGATTGTAGATTTTTTCTAATATGCTTATTATCAATGAATTTCACTTACGAATAATATACAATATATAACACATTCGGATGTATTTTCATAATTAATTTTATTTGAATTTCAGAATCAATTCAAAGACATAGAAAAAAGCAAACGGAAAATTGATTGTCATTGTATTTTACTACGGATGGTGCATATATAACAAACAAATTACACCACATTTAGAGAAATTCGTTCAAAACTATTCGGATGTCATTATGATTAAAGTAAGTAATATTTTCTTCGTGTACACATAATTGGAGATTTTTTTACAATACAAAACGTTCGAAATTTGCGTAGATTCAAATTTTGTCATTTTTCTCGGACGTTTTCGAGTGTGTGCACTTTGTTTCCTTTTATTTTCTCTTTATTTAGGTGGACATTGACAAATTTGGTAAATTGGCGAAACAATTTGACGTTGATCAATCGCCGACATTCATCTTTTATTTTAAAAAAAGCTGTCCGATCGAAAAGCTTAAAGGAGCAGACTTAAATCGATTCAATGAGATCTTCAATCGACAACTGGCCTCAAGTATTTGCTATGGAAATAAATGTGTATGTCTAGTGCGCCAATCGCTATCACGTTTTTGATTATTTCTAAGTTTTATTTTAAATAAAAATAAAAAAGTGCTAAAAATGAAATGCTATTCTTTTTAACACCAGCAAAAACGGAGCTGATAAATAATGTAAAAAAAAAAGATCGACGTGACCTTTTTCCAAAGTGAAATACTGCGATTAACTAAAAAAAATCAATGATTTTCAATATGGCAAAGAAATTTCCGCGTCTCGATGACACTTACTATTTATAAACAAGAAGTTCTTCTTTGAATTGATTCGATAAAAAATGATACGAAAGAAATCTGAATTGTTGACAACTTATATAGAAAACTGAAATACATGATGCCAAAAAAATAGATTTCTCATGTCTGTATAATAGAAATGAATAAAATGATTGTCTCAAGTCAACCGAACTGTCCTTCCTCTTTCCTGTTATTATTGCTGATTGCCAAAACACAAGCACTAATTATATAGTCTGAGTGTTGCTTTCTGTATTTATATTTCTGGATCGACGAAATTTGTGTTTTGTCTTTAGGAGCAAGTATAAAAGTGAGGTACCATTGAGAAAATGTCCAATAAACAGTCAACCGCTCTTTGTGAATTTCAGCAGATTGGTGGAATATCTCGTTATTTCAGTGAATATCATTTTTATCGACGAAAATGTTAAAGTTTCTTCTTCTCGTTGTCACACTTTCATTATCGTGCATTTCAGTGCATTGTGTAAGTAGAATCTTTTGAAATGAGAGTATAAGTTATTGACAAGCCATGGCTTCGATTTTTTTTATCAACAGAGTGGTGAGACGCAGATGAGACAGAGTGCTGATATGGTTTGTATAATGTCGTGTAAAGTTTGTACAAAATGTTAATATCTACATTACGTATAGGTGCGAGCAGTGTGCCAACCAAAACACAAAGTGACCGATGGTATAATATTATCAAACCATAAAAAATTTAAAAAAAAACAATAAATTATTTGATATTAAATCTACGTAGATGTTGTTCTGGGGGCTCGTGAAGGAAAATTTCCGGACGAAAAAAGCTTCAAGGTAGAAATAAAATATATTGAAAAAGTTTTCCGTTATTAATAATTGTTTTCCTTTAATGGCTTTAAATTTTGCAGTGCTATGCTCAGGTAAAAAAAATTCAAAAAAAAAAAAAATATAATCAAAGCCATTTCTGAAATTAATCTCTCAACATTCACTTATTTTTCAAAACAAATATTTGGCGTGTTAAAAGTGCGTTATGGAAATGATGGGTATCGTAAGTATTTTTTTTAATTCGAAGGAAACGAGATTATACTTATGGAATCGTTCAAAATATAGATGAAGAAAAATAAGGTGACTTATGAATCAGCAATGCGACAATTTGGTAAGGAACCAATTAAATCATCATTTTTTTAAATTCATTTACGCATCTTTTATTTTGCAAAACAGATGTCCTATTGCCAGAAGACTACAAAGAACCTTTTAAGACCGCATTGGGAAAATGCAAAGACGCGACTGGTGGCGCGAAAAACCCGTGCGAGGCATCATTCAACTTCTTAAAGTGCTTTTATCAAGCCAACCCAAAATTTACATTCGCTTAAAAACATATGCTTGTAATATTGTTTAAAGTGTTTATGTTCTGTCCATGAATAAATATAAAAAAAAAACTCATTCAAAATTTTCGACTTGTTTTCGATTTATTCTATTCTGATAATTATAGACAGCGATTCAAAAAATATCCACAGATAAATGCTCTTGTCCACAGGTAATTCGTTCAATATTTCAACCGTATCAAAAATATCCGATTATTTTTTTAACTTTTGTGCACACACAACCGATGATCTCATGGTGTGAAATTCATAACAACCAAATAACTAATAGCTTGTAATAACTTTACTTTTGTGTACTTTGTGTCTTCTTTGATTAGTTTTTTAGTTTTACTTGGTCATTGATATTGAATAAAAGTAAAATATTTGAATTATTATGCGGAAAAGTTAGGCGTGCAAATACAATACTCTGGTTATATCGCTTGTAATGTGTTTAAATTTTGTCATAAATTTCAAAATTAGCCAATATTTAATTTGCAATAATGACTCGTTGAATCATTTAATAATGTGTGTTTAACTTTGAACAATAACGTTGATTTTTTTACAAGTTTTGCGATATCGTATAAAAATAGCTGAACCGAATATTACAATTCATGCCCTTTGAAGCCCAACCGCTTATTGTCCAATATTATCACAATAAAATCGTCTGGAACATTCTCAAATTGTTTATTTTTATCTAATTTGATCACATTTACGACAAACACATCCACCGCAAATCTCTTGATCAACAATAAAAAAATAAATAAATAAATTTCCTCGTTCCATTAGATACAATCATTAAATTGCTGATGCATATTTTGCGAAGCAAAAAATATTGCATTTAAAGGCAGTTTTGATGATTCATCAGAAAAAAATTATGCGTTCCGTACAATATTTGCATTCTATGAAAATGGCATTTATTTTCATCAATATATGTTATCAAAAAACCTCAACCTTGCATTGCAATCCAATTTACACAACTGCACGAAGTTGCTTTGGATATAAAAACCTATAAAATTGCTATGTTCCACTTGAATCATTTGCCAGTCTTATACATCTGATAGTTGTTCTTTTTTTCTCTACTAAAAATGCAGTCAATTTGTACGAAATATTCATTCGTATTGTCACTAGTTGTTTTAGTTTCTTCAATAAACATCGCCCATGGCGTACGTAGGACTTAGTATTTAAAAAATGAATCACGCAGTCCGGACAAGATGTATATTGAATAAATTCTCTTTTGTATTTTACTAGGTTGAAATGAAGGAATTTCAGCACACATTAAAAATTGTGCATGATACGTGTAGAACAGTAACGAAGGTTCCCGAGGAAACCATTCAACAAGTACGAGGTGATGATTATGCTGACGATGCAGCTATGAAAGTAAGTTTCATCTAGTTTTATCGATCACAAAGTATTTTAGTGAGATGATTTTTTTAGTGCTATGTTCATTGCACAATGGAAATGTTACATCTGATGGAAGGATCTGTGGCTCAATTCCATGTAGCTGGAAAACATACCGACTATATGATTCCACAAGAACTTTTTGAAACTACAATCAAAGCGTTTGGACATTGCGAAGGCCTAAGTGAGCATTTATGATGAATAGCATATATGTATATCGGTGTGGCTTTTTATATTTCTTTTTTTTTTTGTTCTTATTTGCAGCAAATGGAATGACTGATAATTGTGAAGCTGCCTATGCCATGTTGAAATGTTTCCGAGAAGGAAACAAGGACTTTTGGCTTCCATAAGTTGAAATTTTTTGACGACCCAAGCTGAATTTTATTAGTTTTTACATTTTATTTCTTATATGATGAATTTCAAATAAATTGCACTGCAAAAAAATCACCCGTTGGTTCTTAATTTTTTGGTCCACACAACGTATCCTCATTAAATTGATACATTAAATGACACAATCTTTATCGAATATAGCTTATTATTCATCTACAAACGAATGTTTATAAATCAGTAACTTTCGATTATGTGTACACGACGCGGTAAGCGTTCAATTTGCCAAAGCAGAAAAATGTATTTTTTTTTCTTTCAAAAAGTCCAAAACCATGTATTCCCCAAAAAAAATAACGATGTATTCCCCAATAAATCGAGTAGAAATTCACTATTTGGAAACAAATATTGCGTCAAGTTGTCCTTGACAATGTACTTTTGTTGTTTAAGGTCATAAGTATATCTATTTCCGCATCAAAAATGTTTTTTAATTTTGATTTAATACAAAATCAAAATGCAAATTGCACCCGATAATGTTATCTACATGGTTGTTGGTAGGCAAAGTAAATTGATTTACTTAAACTGACTGGTGAGCGGGTACGCCTTGCAATTACTTTAAATATTGCTCACATCAAACATTTTATATTGATGATATGCAGAAAAATGCATTTGCATTTCCGGTTGCACGATAATAAAAACTTTTCGCATACTTCAAAATTCTCACATCTGCTGAGTTTTCGTCAAAAACAACAATTCAATTTCCCACGATGAAAAGTATACTGATTTTAACGCTTCTTTTGAGTTGTTTCAATGGCATTTATTCAGTGAGTATAATTGTTGATTTGTTATTTTTTGCTTGCATTAAAAGTATTTTTTCGTTTTCAAACAATTTTTCCCCGATAGAACTTGACTCTCGATGAATTAATGGACTTGATGAAAGCGTTTCGACAACAATGTGAGACAAAATCGAACGTTGACGAGGAATTGGTTAGATTAAATCACACACACATACATATTTAAGATATAATTCTTTGGAAGCATTTTTGACATATAAAATCACAAATATTTAGGTTGATGGCATCAATTTGGGTAAATTTCCAAAGGATCCTGCACTAATGGTAATAATAGCATTTTGTTCTGAAGTGAATTTAATTAATTTAATATTTGTAATTGTAGTGTTACACACATTGTATACTTGAATCATTGAATATGATCCGAAAGGGGAAGCTGAAGGCTGACCTTGCAATAAAAAATGTCAATACATTTCTACCGGCAAATATGCGTGAACAATGGGTTAGAGGCATTACAGCTTGCAAAGAAATAGGTAATTTAATAAGAACATACACAAACAAACACCCACGAGCAGATCATAACATTTCGATGATAATCAATTGTCTGTTTTCAATCGTTAGGAGATGAAATCACGGAGCCCTGTGAAAGAACCTTTGCAAAGGTCGAGTGCTTCTACAGTAATAACGATCACTTTTTGTTCCCATAACCACTGGGAATTCAACAAATCGCATTAAGTTTTGATTTTTTCAAAGATTTGTACAATACAAACATTGTAGTTATTCAATATTAGAAATTATATGTTTTTTTTTTCTACTGTTGGCCACTAAAAATATTGCACAATTCTCTTGTTTTAATGCAAATTATTTTTTTTATCTGATTTTATTGCATTTTGATTCTTCTTGAAAATGCATTTTCATACGGAAATGATAAATTAAACAATGTTATAAAAAAATGCTTGCATCAATCTGAATGCATTCATCTGAACGAATTTTGACAATGGATTATGATCTTTCCCACCGCTGACGTAGCCATTCACATATACGTCATGAGAATAATTGCTAGACATACGAAGCAAACAAATTTTCGTAAATCATTCAGAGCCCTTGTACACGTGGAGTGTATCTGTTAAATCGAAGTAAATATATATTCAATGACTTGACATTCAAAATTTCTTCATTTCAATACAATTTTAATTACATACATATGCGAAATCGAATAGAAGATCCATCAAAATCATCTTTCAATGTAGCTACGAATACACGACAAGTATATTAGATGGTAGAAGTCAAATACCTCTCAATCAGTTATATAACACACATCTGTACAATAGACTTTGGCATCTAAATTAGAAAGGTTTGTCTTTTACGCATCACAGACCGGCAAAGTTTCAGCACGAATTCTTGAACAAAAGATAGAAAAGAATGTGTGAAAGACAAACAAACACGCGATGATTTGGCACTTGATTTGCCGCACATCGATTTCAATGTCAACGTCATTCATGCGACGTACGAATACATCGATGTGATTAGTAATTCTCATCAAATTATGAAATTATACATGGATCTGTATTTCAAAATATCAATTTTAATGCATTTTTCGCGGTGTCTGAGCCGTGAAAATTGACCCCAGTCCTCTTTTTTATTGTATCGGAAATGTTGTAAAATAACAATTTCAATCTTTGTCAACCAAAATCTGATTGTATAAATAAGACGATTGAATTGCTTTTCGTTATCAGTTGGTATTCAAGTCTTAAAGAGGTTTGCACAAACAATTTGTTTCCAAAAATGAAGTGGCTTTTTGTATTGGTGATATTGTGCGTTTCGATTGGATTTTCGCAGGTAAAAAAAAGTTCCTATTTCTACTTTAAGTTAAAACTTTAAACCGTTCTCCTAAATCTATTGCGGAATTCATTGATGTCAAGTGTCTAATATTATTTTATAATGAATACAGCAAGCACTAAGCAGAGATCAAATAGAAGAAATGGCAAAAAAAATGTTGGAAGAATGTGCGAAAAAGGAGGGAGCATCAGATGATGATGTAAAAAGTGCAATTGCTCATCAACCACCAAAAACAAAACCAGAAAAATGTCTACATGCATGCATGGGCGAAACATTAGGACTGGTAAGAGCACTTGAGTCGAGTGGGACGCATTTTAAGATTAGAGAAAAGAATTATCTAAATTTTTATATTTTCGTTCCCACTTAAGATTCAAAATAAAAAGCCGAATGTTGAAGCCTCGGTAGAGCTTGCCAAAATGGCATTTGGAGCCGACGATCCCAAAGTGGAACAATCTCGAAAAATAGCTGCCGCTTGCGCACACATGACCGCTGATGATAGATGTGAAGCTGCTGTCCAAATGTATGAATGTAGCATTGATGAGGCCAAAAAACTTGGCATTGAATTTAAAGATTTACTCTAATCTATACCAAAGACCGTTAAACAAAAAAAAAAACTGCGATTGCGATTTGTCTTTTTTTGTTATTAAAATAATATGATTGTTATAATACCAATTGAAATGAGCATACAAAGCTTTGTTTCAATAAAAAAAAAATGCTGATATTAAACTCATCATAAACAAATTCAATCTATTCATTTATTGTTTCTGGTTTTTAATTTTGTTTGTTCATTCATTTTCGTTTGTTCGCCAAATATTTGAAAAATTCAAATGAAATCACTCAAGTTTGGTGTTTTTCAAAAAAATACCAATATAATTCAACGCAGTCATATGGAAACATAAAATGGTCAAATATAATTGCGTGACAAAAAAACGAACAAACAACCTCTTGTGCGAAATTCGCACTAAAAATAAGCTGAAAAATAGAATTGCAAAAAAGATGCTCAATCATCATCGTGATCTGTAAACCGTAAATTTGCACAAATAACCCAACGAATAAAAACAAACGAGGAATAATTGATTTGATGCTCAAAAGCAACGATCATCACCCAAATAGATACAACCGGTTCTGATGTAATTAAAATAAATCTAATTGATGCCATTTCACTAAGTTGAGAGTATAAAAGCAGCACGATTCGAAAGCAAATCAACCAGTCGTTCTGAGTAATCATTCGAATTAACTCCAATCCACTAAAATTTATTCGATTCAAAATGAAAGCATTTTTCGCATTTGTCGTGTTTGGTGTTGTGTTTGCCGTTTGCATGGTAAGAAAGTGCACTTTATTAATTTTACTAAACATTTTGTGTTTTGACTTTGATATCATTTCATTCAAACTTCAAATAGGCCGCAATAGCACCCGAACAACGCCACGAATTTGAGCAGAAACTCATTGATGAATGTAAAGGACCATCACATGCGAATGAAGACGAAATTAAAAGCTTGCAAAACCATGAAGTGCCACAAACTCATAACGGAAAATGCTTGTTGGCTTGTATCCAGGAAAAATTGGGAATTGTATGTATTACACGTGTTTTTTGTTATGAATTTTATTTTTTAATTGATTATTTCTATAGTTGGTGGACGGTAAATTGTCGGTCGAAGGGGCCAAAGCAATTGGAGCTAAGAAACACGAAGGTAATCCAAAGAACACCGCTCTTTTCTACGAAATGGTTGATGAATGCCAAACTGTTGCTGACCCCGATCGATGTGAAGCAGCCACCAAGTTTATGGGATGCATGGTTAATGCTGCTGTTAAACGTGGTGTTGATCCAAAGGAAGGTCTCAAAGACTAAATCGATTTTTATTAATTGTGATATGAAATATCAAATGATCAGTATCAATTTCTGAAATAAATAATAATCTCAATAAAGTATAGAGCACAAAAACATAAAACTATCTTTTTTTTATTTGTTTTTGATAGTGATATAGTTTTATATATAGACACACATCATTCGGAAAATTTTCCAATACCTGGTTTGTCATTCTTATGCGCTTGCATTTATAAATCCAAATCGTAAATTTTTTGATCATTTAATAAAATTAAAGTTACGGTTTTTTGGTTGCAAAACAAGTTCATATTTTTTATACTAATTTTGTTTATCTTCACCATTTTGCCAAATACTGTCTAGTTACCATTTTGAAATTCATCGGATGTAAGCGAAAAAGAGTCTTTGTAACATTTGAAATTTTGCATTTATCTATAACGGTTTGAACTCTGTTTTGCAAAATAAATATTTGCATAAAGGTCAATGACATTCGCTGAAAGAGTACAAGAATTATGGTAGACACAAAAAATATCCATAGCACATAATTTACATAACAGCTTTCGAATGAAACAAGAATTGTTTTTGTTTATGTAGAACATAGAATGAGTCGACGAAAATATTTGCAAATGCAAATTGAAGCGGTAAAATTGTTATTCTTCTCGCTAATATGTTTAAGAAAATTTTGAAGTTGAAGAAGTCTTCATAAAGACTTTTATGAAAAAGATGTGTAATAATTATTATTATTTTAATAATAGTATAATTTACCCAATAGCAATTTTGTTCTTTTATTGTTTGTTTTGGTCTTTTTGGCCAACCATTTGATTGCTGTTATTTGACTATGCCAACGAACGATTCCGTGCCCTTGTATATTTTTGATTTTCTTCAGGGAAACAGCTCCCAAAAACAAACTGACATCGTCTACAGTGGCTCCAGCCGAATAAAAAGTTACGTTCATCAAAAAGTTTTTTCTCGGCTGCCCTTCGAGTGAAACTCATTTTTCTGTAAATTTTCAATGACACTGAAGAGCTGTGGACTTATTACCAGCGCAACTATTATGATTAGATAGTTCAAACTTAAATTAAAGTGAAATAGATATAACTATAAAGTTTGATGAATTGTTGAGAGATTTAGATATAAACAATACCAGTTTGTTTTATTATGTTTCTTATCATTAATTAGTTTACAGAATCTTTAGAATACATCAGTGCTAAATGTAAAACGAACAATTGAATGTGTTTTTTACAACGTATTTTGCAAGCAAAGTTATTTAGTTGAAATTATTACAATCTGAAGTGTTTATTTCAAGAACTATCACCGCCTTTTTCCACTAAATGCGTCTTTTTAATTAGATGCAATCGATTCTTTAATGCCTTTTTTTGGATCAACGCCACGTTTCAGTCCTTCCTTTATCATACAGTCCATCATTTTAGCACTTGCTTCACACAGGTCTGGATCAGTAATTGATTTGCATGCATCAAGCATTTCGTTAAAAACACCGACCGCCTTCATATCATTTCCAAGCTCTTTTTCTCCAAATGCCTTAAAGCTATCAATTGAAAACTTTCCATCTTGGATCTAAAAAAATACATATGTGACACAATATGCAATACAGATGAGAACACCAACACATTTAATCGATTAAAACTTACAAGTCCGATTTTTTCATGAGCGCATTTCAATAAACATTTTCCTTTGTATTCTGTGGGCGTTTTGCGTTCCAAAATGGAATTCACATCATTATTGGTGGCTCCGACCGAACCTTTACATTCATCAAGAATTTTTTTCTCTGCTTCATGTTTTTCTTCTGGGGTTAAGGCCTGCAAAATAATTAAATGACATGATTACACACCACTTGTTGACTTCTCAAACTATCACAACTTTACATCAACAAATTCTCAATTTCTTTATTTTAATTGTTCACTTACCAAAGCATTGCTGAGCAAAATTCCAAAAATAAGAACAAAGGAGTAAAATGATTTCATTTTGAAAAAAGAACAACTTATTAGATAACAAGAAATACTAGGTGAGCTCTTCAGAACAATTGGTTGCCTTTGGTACCATGTTAGTGCTTTTATACTGCCGGATAATTACTCATACAAAGTTAAAGCGCAAACAAATGCCTCACGCTTACACACATTCACGATAGATTGACGGAATTTGATTATTTTTTTGTTTCATTTCTACTATCGTTATTTTTACTCGTCTTCCGTTTTGTGTGGGTTTTCTTCTCTATAATTTATACTTCTATTTTTTATATTGCAAACACATAAATTTTGTGTTCAGCTTAACTAGTTTGAATGTATATATAAATGTCAAATTCAGAGTGTTTTTGTATCGTACCTCTAATATGATCTTAATGATCTCAATACATAGTGTCATTTTTATTATTTTATGTGAATTATTTAAAGATAAGGTTGTTCAACTTTTCTCTATATTCAATAGATACCCTTTATACAGAATATTATACTATTGCTATTTACGCGCTCATATGAATGTATGTTTCCGATTTTGGAAGCAGCTAAGCATTTGATAACGAGAAAATCAATATCTATAGCAAAATATTCATTTAATCATAAAAGAGTTTCAAATAGAAGATATCGTTGAAAGATATCGATTGTTTATGATTATTATGATTTGAATATTTGACTATTTCAAATATCACAAGACATCTTGACAATATCTGGATTATCATATTACAAAACAATTAGAATGAACAATTGAACATACGCTGAGATTGTTCCATTCACATGCATTAAGAAAGTACATTCGTACTCAAAAAAAGGATAATGTAGGGTGGGTAGTAAAATCACAGTCGACGTAAAATTTCAAAAAATCATTTATACTATTAAAATGTACAAATTATGTACAAATAGACAATAATACAACAATATCATGAATATGTACCAACATTTTTCTGTCAAAATTTGGATTTTTTAAAAATGAAAATATCAAAACCAGGAAAATGTTTACACGATTTTCGAACACCACCAAAGTGAATTTCATTAAAATGTGCAAAATATGTACAATTCAAATCAAATCTGAAAAATTTCCACTACCGATATATTAAGAATAATAATAGAGTCTCTCAATCTCAATAGTGTCTATTTGTACACATTTCGATTGTGTGACCACAATAATTTTGGGTCGAGAAATCCGAGTTTGGTGATAAGATCTTTAAAATTTATTATTTTAACCAACCATATGATGGATGTCAGTCGTTTAACACATCAAAATTCACTGCAAAAATGACATCGAAATCGGTCATCGTACGTTCACGGACATGACAAATCCAATAGCTCTACATTTCAAAATACGGGATTTGTTCTGTATGGAAATAAACGTAAACTTTTTAATTGATGTAATCAATAAAAATACAGAAGTTTTTGTAAATTATTTAATGATTCAAAACATAACAAGTCAAATCTGTACTGTTTATCTAATAATCTCTCACTTCACTAAAGTGTATTGTTGTTAAAATCATTTTGCGATTATCATTATTCCACTTTAATTTAGTGTGAGTGATGGGCATATTAATCGATTGAACAATGAACAGGCAGGTATAAAAGTACTGATCTACTACCAAGTAATATCAGTTGCTCTTCAAAGCCCTACAGCTATTTATTGTCATTAAATATTGACAGAAAATTCAGTTTTAGTTCACAATGAAATCATTTTTTTCCGTTCTATTTATTATCGGTATTACATTCATCGTTGGTTTGGTAAGCGCATTTTGGGAGTATTTGAATGTGCTTTATTGTTGTAAAAATTGCAAATGATTGTTATACCATATCAATATTTAGGAAGCTTTGAAGCCAGAAGAAAGTGCGGCCGAGAAAAAACTTCTCAACGAATGTAAAAATTTGGCTGAAGCCACTGACGACGATGTCAATCTTCTTTTAGAACGTAAAGTTCCCGAAGATTACAAGGGAAAATGTTTGCTGAAATGTGCTTATGAAAAATCAGGAGTTGTAAGTTTTTTTTTCATAGAAAAGTTGTATCTACCCATATTTTGCTATTAAATATTGTTTCATATTATTTATAGATTCTTGAAGGAACCTTTTCTATTGAAAAAGTCAAAGCATTTGGAACTAAATTATTGGAGGATAATACGAAGGCACTCGGTATTTTCAACGAAATGATTGTCGAATGCCAAACCGTTGCTGATCCAGATATTTGTGAACAAAGTGCAAAATTCATGGACTGCATGATAAAGGCGGGACTGGAACGCGGAATCGACCCAAAGAAAGGCATCAAAGAATCAATTGGATCAATTTAAATGTGATATCACTATATAGCTTTAAACGAATAAATTGAGTGTTTCGTTTCAAAATTATAAAATGCAAACGAAACCCTTCATGCTACCAACATTTTTGTCTTTCAATTCTTTACTTTATTTTGATCACAAATATTGAGAAGCCAATTTAAATGCGATAAATTCGTTTCATGAAGTGACATTGAATTGAGACAATGTTTACTAGTATCAACCAATAATTAAACGTCTGGGATATTCTTAACGGAAACGCCTTTGATAGTTTGATCATAATATATTTGATCAGCGATGCATTTTTTTGTTCCTCTTATTTTGATAATTTTGACGGTAGTTTCGTAGGATAAAAAAAACATTGCTGAATCATCGTCGAAGACAATTTAAAATATTTCTGCTTCATCTTAAATTTTTCGAATAGATTTTGTATTTAAGTGCTTTTCATCAATAGAGATAGTTCAGTCGAATTTCGAAATTCTTTCCAATTAAATCAAAGAACATGAAAGTTCATGCAGTTTTCGTGTCAATACTCATTGGTCTCTTCTCAGTGTCTTGCGTAAGTATCAAACTTAAATCCGAATGTATTCCAGTTTAAAAGAAGATTTGTTTAATTCCATAGAATGCTGAGTTATCCGAAGAAATGAGAATACTTCTTAAAGAAAAAGTTGATAAGTGCAAAACTATGGAGGAGCTCAGTGATGTTGATGTGTCTAGATTTTTTAATGGCGACGCGCCAGAGACTTTGAAAGGAAAATGTCTGATTTCATGTTTACAAGAATCTGTTGGATTGGTATTAAATTTAAAGAATCGCATATTTTTTGTTCCAACTAAATATGACACTTTATATAATTGCTAGATAAAAGACGGTCAAGTGCAATCGGCTGCTGGATTTGAATTGGGAAAAATGTTATTTGGTGACAACGAGAATGTGTTGAGTATGATAAAAAATGTTCAGGATGAGTGTGCCACAATCACCGATCCGGATCGCTGTGAAATGGCCTTTAAGCGCATGTCATGTGCTAAAGAAACGGTCCAAAAACATGGATTAACTCCACCACGTGAAATGATTTAACATGTTTTAAAGTAATTTTCACGAAAATAAATATGCTCGTGATGATGAGTAATAGTTTGTTTGTTTTTTTAAATTGTATCGTTTCAACCTCATTTTTCAGGTCATTTTTTTTGTATGCAATCCCGATTCGTCACATGCTTATAAATACTATTTGGTGTCAACGAGAAAATCTTTAAAAAATGCTTATTTCGCACAAATATAATTGGATTGAAATAGTAGTAAACATGTTGACATCATTTGCACGAGTCAATCGAAAATTGGTTCAATTAACTTGAAATTTCAAGTGTGAAGAGAATAAAGTTTTTGTATGCCAGCTTATTTTAGGCATATAATTTGCAAAATAATTCGACTTTTAATTTTGGCTTTAAACAAACCACAGCAAATAAATGATGACCACTTTTTTTTGGTTCAGAAATTGGTGATATTTTGGCTGAAAAATCTGGTATATAAGGGATCACAGAAATCGACATAAGCATCAATTGTTATTTCAACCTTTCAATCGAATCAGTCGAACGAACAAATAAATTTCATTTCAACACTTTTGAAAATTCATAGTAAATCATGCAAGCTGTATTCACTTTGACGATTGTATTGGGCGTTTTGATAGCCTTCACCATTGTGAGTGAATTCTAAAAATTCTAAACATTTTTCGATTTTTAATCAAATTTTCTGTTGTTCATCAACTAGGCTGCAGCGCCATCTGAAGAAAAGAAGAAAGTATTAAATGAGTGCAAAGCTCAGGAAAAAGCTACAGATATCGAATTACAACAGATATTGAGCAACAAACTGCCACAATCAATGAACGGAAAATGTTTGACAGCTTGCTACTATGAGAAAACTGGAGTGGTGAGCTTATTCAAATAAATTCATTGTAGTTCGTAATGATTGATGATTATTTGAATTTTACACTCAATTAGATCAAGAATGGTAAAGTTGTTGCCGATGCATTGAAAGCAAATGTGATGAAAGAGTATCCAGGTGGTAATGCAAATGGATTTGTTACTGAATGTCAAGGAGTCAACCATGGACAACGCTGTGAATTGGGTGCGTTAGTGAACGAATGTGTGAACAAAGCAGCTGTTAAATTTGGACCAAAATAAATTAAATGTCATGTTGATTGGATTGCCCATTTTTCTCGATAGATTTGAATAAATACAAAATTTGAGTGTACGCATACTAACAATTGTATTTTATTTTTCACAACACACGTTTTTTTGTTAACTATTCTATATTCTTTCATTAAACTAAGAGTAACGTAAAATCTCGAAAATTAACAATCATTTAATTTACAAAAAAACACCCATTCTATTCACCTAGCTTCGTCTGGCAAAAAAAAAATTAGTTCATTTCCGTTAATTTTGTTTTTGGTTCAAACACCAAATTCATTCAATGATCGCGTTAGAATAGAAAACTTTTTGTTTAATATTTATCAGTCATTGAATTTTGGCTCAATTGAAAAAATGCATTTGACCAGAAAGTAATTTAATTAATTTTGAGTGTTGAAATTATTTGTGCTTTTGCCATCTATAAAAGGTTCGATGAAATTGGCAAATCGTTAGTTCTCTTTAAAAGTGTTTGAGCATTAGAAGTAAAGCGATAAAAGTATAACAGTCTAGAAATGAAGTCAGTTATTTCTTTGACATTGATTGGCGTTATGTTCGCCATTGTAATGGTAAAACTCGATTTTTTATTATACTAAAGTAGTTTAAAGCTGACATGCGTTCTGAAAATAGCCGTCTTTGGAAAAGTGACTTATAGTTTAGGTTTTAATATTTTCGCGTGAAAACAGGTATCATCTTTTCCTGAAGATAATCAAAAGCCGGTAATTTATGAATGCAAATCAATGGAAAAGGCTAGTGATGAAGATGTTGAAAATGTGTTGCATGAACTGCAAACTCAAATGCCCTTACAAACTCCAAACGAAAAATGTCTGTTGGCATGTTTATATGAAAAATCGGGAGTGGTAAATTGTTGTGTTGTGTTTTGTTTTTAAAAATGTATGAAATTAAAATTCCGATTTTTTTTCTTAAGATCGAAAATGGACACATTCAATCTAATGGTTTGAAAATTGCCATTATGCAAGACGTTGAAAAGGAAGCTGCCTCAATTGATAAAATTATTCAAGAGTGTGCATCGATTAGTCATCCTGAACGTTGTGAGCAAGCCGCACAACTCAAGTTGTGCTTGGACAACATAGTCTCTCTTTCCGCATCCAACTAATTTTGATTATTCTCAAACAATTACATTAATTATATGTGATTAGAAATATCTGATGCAAATTAAATCATTGTGAAAATAAACAAAAATGATATTATTATGTTTGGCGTAAAACGTTTTTCATTTGTTTATTGCGACTTTTTATCATTTTCGACAATGTAAATAATAGCATGTTTTTATAAATATGGAAGGGAGTTCAGTGAATAATTCAACTTATCATTATAAAAATATTTATGGATCTTTTGACATTTTTCGCCACGCATGTTATTTAAACGATCAAATATTTTGTTAAGAAGTTCTAACTTTGACAAATAATTTGTTTCTCTAGTGAAAAAAATCCAACATAAAATTAACATTGTATTGATGTAACATAAAAAAAGACATGCCATCTAGGTTCCAAACTTTGAACGGACCTATGCTCGAGCTAACTGATCAGTAGCTGATTCAACATGCGTGTGTGACAACGAAGTTAATTTCGCTCCAAACTTTAGTATGAGAAGGAGTTAATATCCAATTATAGAATACTAATCCCTTCATAAAAAATAAATAAAAAAATGATATGTAGTTGCTGTTGACGTGCATCAAGTATCAATAGCAATAGTTGAGCAGTTAGCTCGAGGAATGATTGATTGAAAGTCATTTAATTTGATTATGACTCGAATCAATCAAAATGCATTTCTTTGCAATATTAGCGACATCATAATTGTGTCAATATATTTATGGCATCGATGATTTGCAAATTTATTTCAATTTTCCAACAAGTATAAAATAAACGTGCATTAAACACGAACTATCGTATTATTTTTGATGTGACAAAGAGAATGAAAACACTTTACTTGTTGATACTTGGAATTGGAGCTTTGATTTCCAATTGCTCGGTGAGAATAAGCATATTTTTTAATACGAAAATATAATAATTTTACTGTCACTTTTAATAGTCGAACACATCTATTGAAGAGACATTCATGTCGATTGTGAATGATTGTAAAGAAAAGGAGAGTGCCAGTGACGCCGATGTGGATGTTGTTATAAATCATGAGGTGCCAAACAGTCCGACACAAAACTGTCTATTCGCTTGTTTCTATGAAACACTCGGTGTGGTAAGTGAGCATTTTGAATATGTTTAAATAATAGTGATTATTTTTAAATTAAAATGTCATGTCATTTGTAGATCCAAGATGGTAAAATGTCGATTGATTCATTGAAAACAGTGATTCTGGCCAAGTTCAGTGGGGACGGAAATGCAATTACAACAATCAATGGACTCATTGATGAATGTGCTACATTAAATGGCAGCGATCGCTGTGAACTAGCGCACAACATATTGGAGTGTTTGAACAATGGTGCTAACAAGCATGGCATCAACAAAAAGCAACTTTAGAATTAATTTTATTTTATATGATATGTGATTCGTTTTTGTCAAGAGTTAGTATCAGCCGGTGTATATTTGTATGAGATTGGAGACTTTTTTTTGCGAATCTCGCTAATGAGCGCCATCTGATTTTAGTGTGAATTAGATGCAAAAACTGAATTTAATTCTGTAGCATTGAAATGAAAAAGTGAAAAAACAACAACAATTACACGGCCACACAGAGCTGTACATCTATGCGTGCTGATGCATACATACACATATACGCTTTCTTCATTCTTTCATTCCATTGCTATACGTATCTCACTGGTCAACAGATCTATGTAGCCATGTTACTGTTGTTGTTTTTTTTCTCTTTTTCGATTCAATTCATTGTAATTGAGTTCAACTATGGAATACAAGATGGCACAGATGAGGGGAATTCGCATTTTGTCTCTTTATAGGCTTAGCCGGTTGGTTTGCACATGAGCTCGAGGTCAACTAACTTATAGTCAATGAACTAA